AAATACTTTCAATAAGTATTATGTAATAATATATATTGAACAAAAATTATTCTATTTCATTCTATATATTCTATTCTGTGTTGTGAATATCAAACTCGTTTTTTTTTTTTATAAAACTGAAGTGACCAACTTACTCACCTGATGGTAAGGGCGGCCGCAATCCATGAACACCTACAGTCAACTTCAAACAAAGAAAGCCACAAAATGCGGTACCATCTGAGAACTGAGAAGGAATGCTCCACAGCTTGTAATTATACTGGCTCTATACTCTACAGAACGGAACACAGCGTTGCGAGCACCGCCACCACCACTTAGTACCGTTACCACTAATAGTTCACATACAGATATTAAACACACAAACATATTAAGTCATGAATTGTTGTTATATCCTCTATTTTTTGTTTATTCATTTTCTTGTTTTTTAATTTTTTTTATTATTATTTTATTCTTATTCGTATTAATTTGTCATTGTAATATGAAGTGTCGGAATAAATGTCTTTATGTCTTTAAACATCGCACCACTTTTATGTACTTCGCAAAAGTCACTTCAAACCATTATTTAAACCGCGATCCGCCATTGGTACTGTTTCCGCTACAATTCACTTTCATCCAATTTCTGACACATGTATATATATATATACATCTGTCAGAAATTGTTATTATTCCTTATATATATATACTAGCTGGTCAGGCAGACGTTGTTCTGCCCTTTCCGATGACCCTGGATGACCCTTCCTATGAAAAAATCCGTAAATTCGCAATAAAATAAATTGAAAGTCACTTATCGGGATAAAAACTATCCTATCTCTCAAGTTGGACCTAACTGCACACAGTGTGCAAAATTTTATTGAAATCAGTTCAGTAGTTTAGGAGTTCATTGCAGACAAACAATGTGACAGGTAATTTTTATATATATATATATATATATATATATATATATATATATATATATATATATATATATATATAATGAATAATAACAACAGGATAGTGAAGTTTCTGTTGTTTTAATACTATTCTGATATTAGTTCAAACATATTTTTTTTAAATGAGCCCTACACTATATACTAGATACAATCCTACACAGTTTACATATATAAATTGCACCCGAACAAACATCCAGACCCGAAATCATTATTTGTAAGTCTTACAAATACTTCTTCCGTGCGGGGTTCGAACCCACGGCCTTGAGTACCGCAACTTAATGCTAAACCACTGCGCCACGGAGCCATCAAATTTCTAGTAAATCTAGTAACACCGTTTACCACTCCAAGTAAGTTTGTTAGAAGTGGTACACAACGGTAATTGGATGGCGGATTCGAACCCACGACCTTACAATACAACCCGTATCCTTAACCGTTAGGATACGTTACTGCTTTTGTATTTAAAACATCTGTGTAATTGTTTCGTAAAACAATCCTTATATTTTTCAAGTGGATTAGGGAAACGCGAAAGCATTTCCTCCGCTTTAAAATACGTTGAATATAAGATAATATAATAATGACGACCGGGCATCGCTCCAATTTGCATATTTGTCCAGTTTATAACAATTATCCGGGACTCCTCCAGCAATTTTCTTTATTACCCGGATTAAAAGCGCGCCTCGACGTCGACTGCCAGTCGCCCGGGTTCCGTCGGTTTTGTAAAGTTTGTCTGAAGTTATGATGTCTCTCAATGAAACCCTAATACAATTTATTAACAAAGCTGCCAGTTAAACAGATCTTTTATATAACAACAATTTTAGGGAAATTCTTGCCTGTGGTGTTTTAGCATAATTATATAATAAATTGTTAACTCAATTTGTGGAAATTTCGAACCGCGTCAGAGCTTTCGTTTTAGCAGGGTAGTGGACCATAGATAATACACAGAGAAGTAGAAATTCATTTAACACTGTCAAAAGTTTTTCTAATTAAATCTCAGGGTAATTACTAGCATAGAGGGAATCCTAAAATAAGAACAAAATTCATGTAGTTGAACTCTTTATGCATATGAAATTTTACGTGGTACAAAATATTAATCTTACCTTCTTTCTTTTACAAAGATGCTGTTCTTTTTTTCCATTCTAGCGAAACAAAAAACGTTACTAATAAATTTATCAAAAATTAAGCATTTTGATTAATTCAGTTCGTGTAATACCAATTTAGGTCAATGAACGTTAATTAAAGCTTCGTTTGACATCTTACAACAAATAATGCGGAATTTTACAGGCGTATAATGCCGAATTTTATATATCTATATAAAATTTGGCATTATATATATAAAAGGTCACTATAAAATCTACATAAATTCAGCCCTTATATTTCTGCCAAATTATCCCTAGCCTTATTATGGGTTTCACAGGAACTTGGAGGTTAACTGTAAGCATGTAACCCTAAATACCCCTTCGAAATATTTTATATGGATAAATATCAAACTCTATTCTCAAGCGTTATTCGAATATTTGAAATAAAAATAAAGAACGTGGGTCTCATGTATTCAAATAACTCTTGAAATAACTTAGATTTAAGATAATGTTAGTTTTTCATAAAATTGTCTCTGTCAATGCGAGAGAGCCGGAGGCTGTATCTGCGGGTGAGCAGCGGGACTCAGTGGTCCGACGGTGATTGAATGAAAATATTCAATATTTATTCTGAGACGAAGAGCGACGCAATTCGTAACCAAATAGATAGCAACGAATAGAGTTTTGAAATACGGACGATCTATTTTATATATCATATAGATGTAGCTGAAGACTTTAAACGTGCAAGTACATAAATAAGCCGATCTACATTTAGTTTGCAATTATTGATTGTGGACGTTTCATTTAATTGTGTAGTGTTCGTGCAAACGTAAGAAATCATTATGTGGACGATCGGTCGATGATTATGAGCTTACACTACAGTAGCATGCTTGGGCTTGGATCTAATATTGAGAATCCCAAGCAGATGATAGTACCGCACAACTTTTCTGGTTGAAATTAGTTTTTGTTTTTATTTACTAGCCTTACGAGTGTCACATGGATAGGAATCGATGTTCTTTAAGTCCTTCAGTTACCATTATCCTATTTGGGACCATTTTAATCGTAGCGGTCAAACCGCGAACTCAGTATGATCATAATATCAAAAAGGCTCCTTCTACGTTCACATATTGTGACAGGCAACTATTGATGGACCCTACATTGTGCGTAGCCCGACACGTGCTTGCCCGTTTTTTATTTCTATATCCGCCCTTAACTCCAATACTAGTAGTCAGATTTTGAAAAGACTTGTAATAATTTCGTAGGTCACATTTATACACGTCGAAATTAAAATGATGAATAAAATCTGCCAAAAACTTACAAACTATATAATTATAATAAGCAAATATATTACTATGTACAATATCACATGAAAGTTTTATCAAACACACTCCAAATACAACTTCGATACGCTGAGAAAAATTATTTGACATTGGTTGGTCAAATAGTGGGTCACAGTTGCAGCGCAACCGAATCCATAACACCATTTTTTTTTTCTCAAAAATATATAGTAAATAATTACAAAGTGAACTTCCAGGTTAATTAGTCGCAACAGATACAATACCAAGTTAACATGTAAATATAAATTGTAAATCATGACGTTTACTGCAAATATTTTTAAAGTTACTTTTCTTTTATTTGAACAACCAGTTAACTGCACGACATTTGCAGTGATTATTGGGAATATTAGTAAAGTTAACAGCATTGCTAGTTTTTTTTATCGTCACTTTTGGCAGACGGATTAACAGACGCAGGGTCAGACGTCTCGTAACTTAAACGCTGCTGATATTTTGCAAAAACCAGAACCAAACCAAGATGGCTATACCTCGATCTATTGAAAGCGATAAGTTTCCCACAGTCGCTTTTTCTAGATATCTTGGCCCATAGATACTTACATCTACCCTCGGTTAGTAACCAAAACGAAGATGCGTTGCCACCCCTGAGGAGTAAGATGGAATGCCTCATTTCGAGTAAATAGGGTCTCTAGTTTTCTACACTCACCATACGAAATACAGCAGCATTAAACCATTTCACGCTTGTATTCTGTGAGAGCAAGATCATCCCCAGGTTGAGCTAACCCATTTATGCTACAACCACAATATATCTGTAGTATGGCTCTACCACGTAAAACTCAATACTAACTGAATTATAAACATGATTTTACAACATCAATAGCATAAAACGGGGTGGTATATTCTTCTACGCCGTCATCACACAAAATAATTCGAATTACAGTAGAACGCCGATTATCCGAACGCCGATTAAACGAATCGCCAATTATCCGAATCGGTCCTAAGCGTAATATAAAAATGAAAACCAAGTACTGTAAATAACTAATGTTATTTACTTACAGTACTTAATGATATTCAAAATAACAGTGAAAAAATTTTAAGTCTTGTGACTGCGTTGGAAACTGGTGATGAATGTTCGTCGCGAAAAGTAATGAAAAAGGCAAACGATGAACAACTTGAGAATGCTGTTACGTGGTTTCTGCAGCAACGATCTATTGGACAACCGATTTCAGAATCGATTTTATGTGAAAAGGCGCGAATGTTCAGTGAAAAAACGGGTTTATAAAACTTTATAAAGTGTAAAACCATTTATATTCTCAATAAAGTTTACTCTATGTGTGACAGTTCGTGTTTCTATATTACATACCAGTCTATGTCCGATTATCCGAATCGACCCCGGTCCCAATTAATTCGGATAATCTGCGTTCTACTGTACTAATATGGAATTAAAGGCTAGTATCAGAGTTCTAAACTATGCACAAATTTTTAATAGGACTTAAAATTTAATTTTAAGTCCTACACTGAATATTCTACTCGAGAATTTCTTGCCGCTTCTTCTCACAAGGTCTCCCCGCAGTAGGGATTGTTGATGCAATGTCGTAGCATTTGACTTTCAAAAAGTGCTTTGTAAGAGTCAAAATTGACTTTGACAACAGATTCAGAATCACAGTCACTGGGTATGTGTTACAATGGGCCACTATTATTAATGGGTGTCAAGCTGGGTCACACAGCGCGGCACTTTCGCAAGGTACGTGCCCTGCGCGTCCATACGTGCAGAGCACATCCCGGAACTCTTCGCTGCCGCAGCTGGACGATACCACTTGCAACGTTTCTGCCAATCTTAACGCAATTGACGCGTTTGAACGCGGCCACCGTATCGGTAATTGTGCGCTTGGTGATGGAGTAGGGTCGCTGGAAAGAAAAAAATGTTCAATTAGTTCACCTCATGTAGTAACTAAAGCAAGCAAGAACTGTGTGACTTTATTGTCAGAGAACCTGCAAACTGAATTGCAGGTTTTGAATTTGAATATCAACTGGAAATGAAATTGTATACAGAAATACAATGTTCATCTATACAAACCCCGTGGCTCTATGCAGCTTACCCAACCCAACGATAGTAATTTAAAAAAAAAACTTTGTTGTGAAAACTACGAATAATTTTCTAAACTAGGGATTTTGGTCTGTACCATTATATACATAAATTGCACAAAGACAAACATTCAGATCCAATCAATTAAATATATATGTAGGTCGTACAAATCGTTATCGCGTGCGGGATTCAACCCCGCAGATTAAAGCAAATCGGTTAACTGAATTGACATTGATGTAATGCCACTCACCCAAACTTCATGAAGTTCGTGATCATGAGAGTCAGTCTGTCGATGAATGTCCTATCTGCCCTCGACAGCAACAATGGCAGCCCGGCCGGCTTGAACACGTAGAACACGTCATCGGAATGCGTCGTTTCTTTCATTCGCACACCCGATATTAACTTCGCAAAATTTCTGTAGCCTTGGTAAGAAAAGATATAATTGTACACCGGTTTATCTGATAAAGTAGTTAAAAGCTTTAGGAATTCGTTGTGCGTGCCGTGTATTATCCAATCTGAATAATACTGCACGAGACCCGTTACAAAATCTTTGGTTATTCTTCTCTCTCCAAAGTAGTGTGAACGTAATATTGCACTGATATTTCTTTTGTTATTTTCTGAGCACCAAGAAAATATAGATGGCAGCCTCTCGTAAAACTCCTCATTCAGTTTTCCTACAAATTCGTTATCTGTTAATCCGTAAAAGAGTATTCCTTCAACTTCGGCGTGACCGATCATCATTGGCACTTTGTTAAATTCGCCTCTCTTGAAAATATTATACGGCGTATCATGAAAGAATGGATCCGAGGTATTAGAATCGATACATGGTGAATATTTAAAATATTTCGGATTCACCGAAGTATCTTGTGTCGCACGAATGAGATCATCAACACGAGAATTCATAAAGATTTTATAAACGTCCTGTTCTGTATTGGCCGGTGCAATTTTCCGCGCGTCTTTTAAAGCAGGCCCTAAAGGTTCTAAATTGAATGCCCAAGGGGTAAATAGCGATCCGCTCATAGCAATCACTTTGTGAAACAGTCCCTTACTAAACTGGGTTATCATGTGCATAGTAACAGCACTAGCGCCTGCACTCTGCCCGCATAGAGTCACGTTATCTGGATCACCACCGAACGATGCTATGTTATTTTTAACCCACATCAAAGCAGCCACTTGGTCTCTCAATCCTAAGTTAGATATTCCATTAACACATAGAAATCCAAGCACATTCAGTCTGTAATTTATAACGACAACAATAACATTCTTGGTGACTAGATATTCCGGGTCATAATGAGCTTTAGTGCCGTAGTAATAAGCTCCACCATGTATGAACACCATCACTGGGAGTCTGTCGGTTGGTTTGGCATATTCAGGACTGTACACGTCGAGGACGAGGCAGTCTTCGGTGCCGATCACGAAGGAGAACAGCATCTGAGGGCAGCTGCGGAATCTATCTACCGCGTCGAACACGCCTTCCCATTTGCGCGGCTCTTTCGGAGCCTGAAACACATGAAATGTGATTAAATTAAGCTAAAATCTATAAATATAAGTGGTAAAATTAGTATTTTTTTACAACCGACTTCAATATAAATAAAATGAGAACATCATCAATGTAGTCGAAGTCAATTAAATATTAAGGATAACTCAAAAACTACCGGTCAGATCTTGATCAAATTTATATGGAATCACATGAAAAGCACCAGCTTTCAAATATCATCAAAGTCGGTTCACCTAGAAGAAACTCTGAGGTAACATAAATGTGGCGGATTTGGATTATTTAACTAGATATAGTGAACTGTATTCAAAATCGCCTGAAACGTTCAGTTACCGCAATCACAAAACTACACCAAAAATAGCAACAAACTATTCACGGTCTTAATAGCCAGCCTGCCAAGATCAGCAAACGTTGACAGCTCCTGGTAGATTCTTCTACACGGTAGAATACACTAGCAATAAGATTGTACACGGTACACTCTGGAGTAGTCCCTTTTAAAAGTTTTTGGAGAGATATTCACATCACGATAACATAAAGAGAATATATGTGGCTTGTCTCACCTCCTACCCTCTTCTTCGTTTTTTTTAACTCCACAGATTATTACAACGCATGTTACGTCGCAATGTTGCCACTAGGTGTAACCGGCGTTCAGATCGCAGCAGATCATTGTGCCTCGGTATAAATTTTGTGAGTTGCGGTTTATTACCGAACACCCCCCCCCCCCCCCCCACCGAAACCATCTTGATGGTTTCTCCTAACTATGTATATGAAAAAATATTAGAGAAAAATTATAACTTGAGCGTGACACAACGAACAATCCTATCAGAACCGGGGTGAAGAGTCTTTATTCTACCCAAAGGCCAATTACACGGCGGTACGTTATCATGATTACGTTTTTATGATTACGAGATCACCTATATTAATGTTAGATCTATCCGAATGCCACTTTGCTTTCCGTTGCAGCGTATTTAAATATTCGTGACTCCATCTACGCCAAAACATTTGTGAACATTTTTGAATATATTGCCAACGTGACACTTTTTTAGGGTGTCAATCGAATACACAGTCCACCTGATAGTAAGTGGTTGCTGTGGTCCATAGACATCTACATCTATCCTCGTTTGCGAATCAAAATGCAGATGCATTGTTACCCATGTGGACTAAGATGGAATGCCTCTTTTCCAGTAAAAAGGGTCTCCGGTTCTTTACACTCACCATACGAAACACAGCAGTGTTAAGCTGCTGTTTTACGCTGGTATTCTGTGAGAGCGTGGTCCTTCCCCGGTCGAGCCGACCCATTCGTGCTACAACTATACTACTAATATAGCTGCTGCTCTACCACGTATCACACAATCGATTTATTGTTATATCCTCTACATTATACTCAGGTACTGCTGCTAACCCTTTTCCAATTATAAATTGTCCCGCAGTCAAAACGTTTATGAGTTTACATCAGGATTATCACTAGCTGGTAACGGACAAAGCTGCCGCGACTTGACAATTGCTTCTACTTTACAAAACACTGTGGTGAGTTCCTCGAACGTCAAACTTTTTTCTCCTACGGCTCGCGTTAATAGATACTGCAGGGCTAGCATTGGAATGAATCAATTTTAAAGAGGAAAGGAGAAAATGTTTATCCCCTCGCTTAGTTTTATCCACTCTTCGAGTGTGGGCACACCGGTGAATATAATATCCACAGTTCATAAAATGGGAAATAGACTTAGACTTGGATAGATGTTTTGTATGAATATAAAGTTAAACCCACGTCCAATGAACTAGGATAGAATTGTCCCTTTCAAAAAAGCATAATTTTTTATCTTTAATTTGGCTCCTTGCTACGGACGGGGGATATATGTCTACTCGTTATGTCAAACGGGGATATACTTCTCCCCGTTGCCGTGCTTTGGCATAGGGGTAAGATAATTTTGTCTTCTGTCAGGGGATATAACCGGGGGATAAAATTTTTGTCCCCAGCCCATGCTAGCCGTGCTGGGCGGATTTAATTCCGGCTTCCCAGAGCCCACCCATATGTGGTGCACTGGAGGGATTAAATCTTCATATTATAATTTGTCATTTCGAGCAACCATCTAATATATTGTGTATAGTGGTAGATAAAAAATGATTTTCAATAAGAATTATGTAATAATCGATATTGAATAAAAAAATTATTCTATTCTATTCTATTCTATTGTTTATTTGTTGGAGCATATACCTTTGTACTTCGGTTAAATGCTTACTAGCAGCGATGAAATTAGTTCCGCAATCCGAATAAAGGAAGGAGCACACACCGCGTCGCACAAATCTGTCTAAACACACGAGGAACAGTCCGATGACAACTACGATAAGACTTCAGGGTGTATAGTTTTTGTCAAATAACAAATGAATAATGCTAAATATGACCGTTCAACCCTAGCATTTCGTCGTAAACTTTCTTTTGTAAAGAACGGACCACCGAGGTCCATCCCTACATGCTCAAAAACTTTACAAGGTATCAATCGAGCTGCTGGCAAAGGTGCCATCTCAGGCTGTAAGAGCACTGGGTTGTGTTTAAAACAAATTTTGCATTTGGGCAAAACTGACCGAATAATGCTACGGGATGCTAAAATCCAAAAATTTTGATTAATAATGTTTTGTAAGGTGCGTGGGCGCATGAATAAATATATTTTATGTAAATATTCAATAAGTAATACAGTAAATCTACTATTTTTAGGTAATAAACGGGGATGCTTCGCGTTATTAGGTAGCGCTCAATAATTTATTCGACCCCCCATCCTGAGGTATCCGCGTTCGTCAATAAATGGAGATAATTTTTTCAACGATAGAACGTACTTTGTACCCTTTGTCAAAATTTGTCACACTCTGTAACAGAAATAGAAACGTTTTTATTCAATATAGATTATAAATAATACTTATTGAAAGTCAGTCTTTTGTTTGATTACCACTGGTTCGGAAAAAAACCTCTGTCCTGGGAAGAACCAGCAAGAAACTCAGCGGGACTTTTTTTTAAATAACAGCTTACAATTATGTATGTTACACAAATTAACAACACAACAAATTAGAAATAGCTGGGTAGCGATCACCTCATTTCCAGGGGTTATTATCATCCATAAATTCCTTAATATTATAATAACCCATTTTATACAAACTTAGTATAATAAAGTTTTTAAACTTGGAGCATCTCAAACTTGGAACTTTGTATATTTTCTGGAATTTTGTTGTAAAAGCGTATATATCGCCCCAAGAATGAATTACTGACTCGATGGAGTCGAGTAACGGGTACTACTAGCTTGTCTCTGTTCCTATATATTGTATTCACAGAATGAATATCACTTATTTTTGTAAAACTACTTTTATTTTTATGTACGTACATTACATTTTCATAAATGTATTGAGAGGCCAAAGTTAATATATTAATTTTCTTAAATTTTTGTCGCAGCGACTCTTTAGGCTTTAAATCATAATGTACTAATTTACTAATTTGTACATTATGATTTAATGTACAAATTAGTAAATTAGTTAATTAAAAAATTTGTTAATTAATTTAATGTACTAATTTGATTAAAACATCTTGAGCAGTATTTAATTCGTTAGTCGTCAGTATTGAGTGCTTACAGTGGCCGGATTTGAGGCGGAACCATCTCAATATTCGAGCAAACGTACGTTGCAGTTTACAATAAGAAGAGAAATGGGAAAGATTCGGTCACAGAACTCTAACTTAGTCTCTTCTATTAAATTATTTTCATTAGTGATTAAATTGAAGAAGCCTAATATATAATTTGATTTCATTTCGGGAGTATTACCCACTTTCATCTTGGTTGATAATCTCACTGGCCACTGCGAATAGTCGTCGTACAAACAAGATGGGCCCTGCAACCACTGCTCAGTGCACTCCACGAGCTGTGACGGAGACGCTCCGCGCGAGCAGATGTCTGCCATATTGCACTCACTACTCACGTGACGCCAGAATTGCGGAGGTAAAACGTCACATACCTGAGTAACACGGTTACTAACCAACGGCCTTAAGGTGAAAGCACCAGGGTGGCCCTCGAAATTCAAATTTTCATACGTTCTTTCGAATTTGCAGATCAGGATATGGTTGAATATTCAACAAAATATGATTCGCGACCGTAACCCTCTAAGGTCATATAATCCCTTTGAATTCGTTTTTCTGTAAATAGCCATACAATGGGATTATACGAACTTAGAGCGTTGTATTGATGATTATAATTATTATAATTCTGTAAATACATACTGGCCCGCGGTCGCAAATCATATTTTGTTAAACATACAACCTGATCATGACCTGATAATTGCAAAAAACGTAGGAAAATTTGAATTTCGCGGGTTACCCTGGCGCTTTCACCTTAATTTGTAAGCTTCTGTCTGAAGCCACGTCAACACGATAGTCGAATCGGTTAACGCAGTAATACGAGTAATTTTTACACGAGTTAAAATGTCACGGACATATTTCATTAATTTGCTTAACAAAACTGACGCCATTAATTAGAACCTCAGGATATTTAATGGTTTGACGGGGGCTACTTTTAGATTTTGTTGTCACCAGGCGTACTTTAGCCTGACCTCTATCGTTACGACTGATCACATACACACAACTAGCATAACCACGAGAGCTTGTATCGCAAAAGGCGACCAATTCACATTCGATCTGTTCTGGTAGCAGCATGTGTCTATCTATCTTGACTGCCGTCAGTCGCGGGAGCTCACCAACGTAATTAAGTCAGCGCTTAGTTACTTCGGTTGGCAGTTGCTTCTTCGCAAAATGCACGGTGAAATAAAACCTAGGGGGTCTTAAATAGAAGCTAATAATTTCAAAAAAGAACGTTTATTTGTTACTTTATCGGAGTTATTTAGTGTGAAATAAAAACAGTCAGTCAAAGGCAATCATTTCAGACCTAGCACTTACTGAATATTCGTTACCATCTTTCATAAATGTAACAGGACGCTCTCCGTTTTCTAACGGAACGTGTTGTAAAACCTTTGCACTATTACTTGCCCACCTTTTGAGTATAAAGTCACCGGAATTAAACATCTCTATAAGTTCATCTTGTAACCGAGATATCTGTGACAATGAAATGCAAAAATATAGAATGTCATCCATGTACACGCCCTCGCGCACAACCCTTGCAGCGAGTGGGAAACGTTCTTCCTCGTCATAACTGCAAGAGTGTGCGGACGGTGGGCAACTTAAGCCGTATGTGACAGTTTTTAATTTATAAACATTAACTGCTTCGTTAGGCGAATGACGATATAAAATATGTTGATAACATCTATCCGACGGATTCAGTTTACTTGCACGATACATTTTGCATACGTCACAAATCAAACAATATTCAAACAACCTAAAGTTCAATATTATAGCCCCAATATCTAGATACAGGTTAGGTCCGGTTAGTAGAATATCATTAAGTGAAACGTTCGTGGACGTTTTAGCCGAGGCATCGAATACCACACGCAAAGGAGTAACGGTACACTCTGGAGTAGTCCCTTCTAAAGTTTTTTAGAGAGATATCCACATCACGATAACACAATGAGAATGTGTATGGATTCTTACGCTTCCTACCCTCTTCTTCTATTTTTAACTCCACAGATTATTAAAACGTATGCTACGTCGCAATGTTGCCACTAGGTATAACCGGCGCTCAAATCATTGTGTCTAGGTATAAATTTTGTGAGTCGCGGTTTATTACTGAACAATAAAAAATATATATAGTCGAATTGAGTACCTCCTTATTTTTTTTAATTCGGTTAAAAATAATTCTCACGTGGTAGAGTCACGTTCTAGCACGAATGGGACGCCTCGACAGATGAATAACCATGTTCTCACAGAATACCACCGAATAATAACAGCTCAATGATATTGTATGGTGAGTGTAGAGAACCGGAGACCCTTTTTACTGGAAACGAGGCATTTCATCTTCGTCCTCACGGGGTGACAAATCATCTGCATTTAGATTAATCGAGGATAGATGATATCTATGAGCCACAGCATCCACTTACCATCAGGTGGACTGTGCGCTCGTTTGTCACCCTTATTCTATAAAAAAGGTATAGCTTTTAGACATAGAATTATTACGCAAATTCTATGCTTTTAGACCTCTCTCTACAGGCACAGGCCTTTTAAGAGAGTTATTAGTTAACAGTTTTAGTCCGCCGTACTGCGTGCGTGTTGGTAGCCTTCATATGTCCTTCAATCGTTTAATTTCTCAGACATACAAGTATTTTCCTTTATCGATCAAGTTTCATTGTTAGCGGCGGTGGTCTAACCAGTGTAGGGATTGCCAAGTGAAAAAAATATCGATATTTATCGTATCGTTATTTTAAACAGTATCAATCAGTATCGATAATTATCGCATGATAAATATCGATATATCGATATTTTTTACGCAAGGCTAAGCCAGGGTGCTCGCTTACTTAAAAATTTACGGCTAGGACGTAACCCATGAACCACCACGACTTAGCAACTATTCCGTTATATTACAGCTTATAAAAGTCCACTGTTGAACATAAGCCTCTCTCATATGTTGCCTCCTGGTGGATTTTGCCATAGTTGCCGCGCTTGGCAAACGGGTTGGCAACCGCAGTTTATTGTTTTCAGTTGTTATCAGAAAAATACTACTGCTCCTGTATCATTTACCGCCACTACACTGTTATCAACTATATTGTGATCTATTTACCTGAAATCTCTCGCTGATCGCGTATGGTATACCATAATAACGGTTCTGGCCGGAGACGCTCCGCAAGCCCCTGATCTTGCCTTGAGTCGTCTCAAGCACCGGTGTGAACACATTCCAGGGAACTGTACACTCTACCCAAATGAATACCAAGCACCAAACTGTCAACTGGTGAAACCACTTCACTTTCATCACAATTTAATATTCAATAACTGAAGATAGCCGGGCTAACTATGACATCGGGACGACAAACACCTCAGTCCTCCCGTGACCATGGATGCTGTAAATTACCCGTCGGGAATTAAAAAGTTGAATTAGATGCCATAAAATCCGTAAAAATTAGTTTCATTTAATGTGTCGTCTTCGCGTAAATATAAGAAATTATCACGATTTCTCTTAAGTATTATATAGTCATTGCATATCTTTATGTATACAATTCTTCTGGCCGTGTGTATGAGAGTGAACTCCTCCAAAACGGCTGGATCGATTTTGATGAAATTAATTTGAATCGAGAATGGCTTATATTCACAATTAGATTAGGTGGTACTGTAGTGGAGATCCAGAAATCATCCGAACGAAGCCGGTGCGGGTGAGCTAGTTTATTTATCGTTAACCCGCGAGATGACACACCCGACTCGATTTTAACACTGTGATGAAAGTGCACGCAGACCCGCTCAACCTCCTCTCCACTGTTCAAGTGGATTACGCAAAGTGTGCAACACGAACTAGAGAACCTTGCTGTTTTACACAACCAACAATTTACAACACATCGTCGACTTATATCGATTTGTTGAGTAAGGACCAAATATAGTTTGTTGTACTTGTAATGTTGTAAAAAAGATTGACAAATATTGGATTGTTGGATACATATTCTTAACTTTTTTATAGGATAAAGGTGACATACGAGCACACAGTCACGTAATGGTAAGTGGTTGCCGTGGCCCATAAATATTTACAACTATCCTGGATTACGAATCAAAATACAGATGCGTTGTCACCCGTGAGGACTAAGATGGAATGCCTCGTTTCCAGTAAAATCGGTCTCCGGTTCTCTACACTTAACTTACCATACGAAATACAGCAGCGTTGAGCTGCTATTTTACGCTAGTATTATGTGAGAGCGTGGTCCTTCCCCGGTCGAGCCGACCCATTCGTGCTACAACTATACTACTAATATAGCTGCAGCATGGCTCTACCACGCAAAATGTTATAAATAATAATTATAGTATATTCTTCTCGCGTATTTTATTTTTATTTTCTTTAAGATTAATTTAAAACTAGTCGATCATTTTAAAAGTATTATTCGTTCGTAAATAAAATGTTTAACTGATTTATGTTTGCTTACATTAAGATTACTTAAAAACTTACTTTTAAATATAATAATGATATTCCAAAGACTAGATTTTTTTATATAGAAGTGACTACCGCCGCCCATGAACAACCGCAACATGAGGGGAATTGCAGATGCATTGCCGGCCTTTTAGAAAGGTATAAGCTCTTTTCTTGAAGATCTCTAAGTCGTATCGATCATCCGGTGGAGCACTCACACCGCGGTATGGTCGGCGGTATGTTCCCCCCGTCATCTAGAGTCGAGTTGGACGCAAAGAGATAGCTTAACAGATCGGCTTTCTCCTTTGCGGCATGGGCCAGTGAGTCGTCTTCTCTGTGCAGAGATGGAAGATATGGCTGACAGAAGACCAGAATGCACGGGTTCCCGAAGGAAGGCGGATTAGTTTCTCGCCAATTCTACCGATGTGCTCAGACCTTGCCTTGGCAATGATGCTTTTGAAGGACCTGGAGGTGGAATTATACTTCTTTTTAAGAGCGCTGGTGTTTACATCCCGAGACGTTGATGTGGCAGCCCAGGCCCGATAGCACTCCTGCTTATAGCGTGATGCTATTTTACAAGAGTGACCAAACCATGGGCATTATGATGGGCACTACAGAGGATGGAATAAAAAGTTCCATACCCTGCTCCATACCACATCAGCAACAGAATCGGCAACAACGCTGGGATCTTCCGGCGGAAAGCAAGCCCACCCCCAAGGGTAGGATGCAAAAAAAGACCGCATCCCGTCCCAATCGGCTGACACTTTTCCCTTCCTATGGGCTTCCCGAGAAATTGTGCAATTGGATCACCAGTTTCCTTGCAAATCGGAGCATCAAGGTCGTTGTAAACGGTGCATGCTCTGACTACAAGCCTATTAACGCTGGTGTTCCACAAGGCTGTGTGCTATCAGCAACGCTGTTTCTTCTGCATATCAATGATATGTTGCTAACTGGTAACATTCATTGCTATGCGGATGACAGCACTGGTGATGCTCTATACACCGGCCGTGCCAATATTTCTCGGGAAAACGTCGCTGAGTACCGGAACAAACTTTTGTCTGAAGTCGAGTCTTTGCTGAACAAAGTCTCGGATTGGGGGCGACTAAATCTAGTCCAGTTTAAGCCTCAGAAGACACAAGTTTGCGCGTTTACCGCTAAAAAGAACCCCTTTGTCGTATCTCCTCAGTTTCAGGGCACTCCCCTTCTTGCCTCAACCAGTATCGGTATCCTCGGAGTCGACATATCGAGTGACGTGCAGTTTCGTGGTCACTTGGAAGGGAAGGCCAAATTGGCCTCTAAAAAGCTTGGCGTGCTCAGCAGAGCGGGACAGTATTTCATGCCGGCACACCGCCTGCAACTTTACAAGGCGCAAGTTCGGCCTCACATGGAATACTGTTCCCATCTCTGGGCAGGGGCTCCCCAGTGCCAGCTCCTTCCACTTGACCGCATCCAACGCAGAGCGGCTCGAATTGTCGACGACCGAGCCCTTTCCGATCGGCTCGATTCATTGGCACTGCGAAGAGATGTTGCATCTCTTTGCATTTTCTTTCGCATCTACCATGGGGAGTGCTCTGAGGAATTGTTCGGATTAATCCCAGCCGCCAAATTTCACGAACGCACATCGCGGCAGAACTCCCGATACCATCCACACCATCTGGATGATTGGCGGTCCACCACTGTGCGATTTAGAAGATGTTTTCTTCCTCGCACGACCTCCTTGTAGAATCGATTACCATCAGCGATTTTTCCGGACCGATACGACTTAGGGACCTTCAAGAAAAGAGCGTACTCCTTTTTAAAAGGCCGGCAACGCATCTGCGATTCCCCTGGTGTTGCAGTTGTTCATGGGCGGCGGTAGTCACTTACCATCAGGTGAGCCGCATGCTCGTTTGCCCCCTCTCCTATAAAAAAAAAACCTATAGTGCCAAACACGGCGCCAAGCTGCAGATCACAACTGCGATGGGAGCGTGAGTGGCAACGTACTCCAAATCAGACAATGGTCCGAAGAGCCCAGAGGGGCATCGACGGAGACCTGACATCCGTCCGAATGAGAGGTCAGCAGAAGGTCCAACAGCGAAGGTACATGATCCTCCACATCTAGGATCATTGTAGGCGAAGTAACCAGTTGTGTTAGACCATATGCCAAGGCAAAGTTATAGAGAGATGTACCCGCATGATCGGTTAAACGAGAACCAAGCCATTCAGCGTGGTGGGGGCTAAAATCCCTGAGTATCACGATCTCTGCGGATGGGACCTGTTGTCATTTCTGCAGCCATTTGAACGTGGTCGATGAGTCGGTCTGTGTCGGCGTTACCGCTATGGGACCAAGAATGCCGGGGCGTCGAAAACAGATGTCCTCTCTGACTTATACGCAAACTCCAGCACGGGGCACAAAGGAGTGTTCTAATTTGTACCCCGGGAAGGAGATATATGAAGTATCAGCCGGAGAGTACACCTGAGTCTCGGTTAAAAAGAGCAAGGCCGGCTTAGCCGTCTCTAGATGGTAATGGACAGCGTTAAGGTTGGAATGAGGTCCCCTGATGTTGCAAAAATTCACGGATAGCGTGACAGGGTTGTATTGCTCCGCTTGCCCCGAGCAGCATTAGTCGCGGGCGGAATTTTGCCCCCCCCCCCCCCCCCCCCAGAATACGCGGGGCAGCCTGAGCACTCACGCTCAGGAGTGAAGTAGTTTGGTCGTGGATGCTCAGCGAGGGATCCTCCAGGGTTGCTGGTACCCTCCTGGGGTAGTCTTTTGTTTAATTCCGCTACCATGTTGATGGAGGGGATTGGGCCTCCAGCCACCTGCACTCACCAAGTGAAACACAGAGTTAAACCTCTACTTCACGCTGGAATTCTGTGAGGTCGTGGTATCACCCCGGTTCGAGCCGGCCCATCAGTATATATATACCCTCACGTACTATTTCAACTATAGTACATGAGGGTAATATTGTGACCCGGTTAATATGGCCACTTTGTTATAACTCAAAAACCACAGACTTGTTTGCATAGAAGGCTCAGTGATACGATAGCTCTTCATCAGCCAGTCAAATAATAAAGGGTCAAAAGAGCGCTGCTTTATCGGCGCCTTTTTGACAGTTGACATTATAGTAAATATTTTAGTCGATTTTAGTAGTGTAGTGTCGTTAGTTTTTTTTTTAAGTTTATTTTTCGAAGTGTTCTTAATTATTGCCAAAACTTGTTTGCTATTGTTTGTAATCCTATATTTTGGGTTTGTGAGCAAGCACAGGTGCATTCTTTGTTTCCTTACTCTCATAGACCAGTTGGGCGACAATCAGACATGACCGCAGAGAGATCAGGCGCAGGATCGACGTCTACTTGCTTTCCGCTGGCAGACATGAAACGCCGCAAGCTTCCCGACTTCTGATTGCTACTAAGAATTTCTCGACAGAAAAATCAAATACCTGACTTTTGCCCGATCTTAGGATTTAAACCTAGGAGGACTTCTTAATCAGCAGTCGCGCTTACGACCACTAAGCCAACGAGGGAGTAAGGTAAACGATATAATATGTAAGGTGTCTATGGACCACATTATTCAGTGGACTTTGTCAATTGCTCACTACTCGTTTGTCAACCTTATGAACAAAATACGTCAACATTCGATGTCCTTGCTTAACGTTTAGCTGCTCTTAGTTCAGAGGTTGGTGACTACGAAACTGTGGGCTGCGGTGACAAGACGCAGAGCACCGAGTTACCGTTCCAACGCATCATTTTATGCGCGGCACTTAACAGTATTTTTCGATGATTACAGGGCCATCAGCAAAATATATTTAGAACAAAAGAAAATCTACCCCCAATCGAAAATATAGCCTGGTTTAGATGAAACTTCACGGGGAGACTATTAA